CCTCACAGAAGGGTCACAAGGAAGAGATGAGTCAGTCAGGGTGCAGTATAGCACTGATGAAACACACAACATTCCTCTAGTTCCTTAATGCTTCCTTCTCCCCACCATCATGACCCCAATTCTACCTTACAAATCGGATTAGACCAGAGCATGCACACTGCCACATATAAGAAGAGTCCACAACACAGGGAATCCAGGATAGATAAACCCCTCTGGGCCAACAATGAGAATAGAGATACCAGGAGGATTAGGGGAAGGTGGGGGGAGACAGGGGAAATCCATCACAAGGATCAACATATAAGCCCCCTCCCAGGAGGATGAATAACAGAAAAGTGGGTGAAGGGTAACAGAGGACAATTTAAGATATGAAAATAATAATCTATAACTTATATCAAGGCTTCATGAGTACGGGCGGGAGGGGGAAGGAGGAAAAATGAGCAGCTGATATAAAGGGCTCAAGTAGAAAGAAAATGCTTTGAAAATGCTGATGGCAGCATATGTACAAATGTGCTTGATACAATGGATGATTGTATGGATTGTGATAAGAGATGTAAGAGCCCCCAGTAAAAGTATTAAAAAAAAAAAGACAAGAAAAGTTTCTTTCGACTACGTAGGAGTCCAGTCACAACACATTCCTACTGCCCTGGGAGGAGATTCCTGGTGGTATAGTGGGTTACACATTAGGCTATGAACCCCAAGGCCAGCAGTTTGAAACCACCAGTTGCGCTGCTTGGGAAGGATGAGGCTTTCTATTCACAAAAAAGAGTTACAGTCTTGGAATCCCACAGGGGCAGTTTGACCCTGTTCTAAATTAGGACACTAATTTTGACCTCATGCATCAAAATTAACTCGAGAGCAGTAAGTTTGGATTTGGGGGCTCTTTGTTTGGGCTACTGCAGTTCATTTTCACAAATGGAAGGCGGGGGCAATGCACCCTATGGGGTCGATACAAACGCTGGCGCTTTGAGCACTTACTGATGTTCTAATGGGTGAAGCAGAAGAGCTAAGACCTTGGCCTGAGTCATCTCTCTCTCTCTCTCTCTCTCTCTCTCTCAGAGACAGTCATTTTCTATAGACTTTACCCTGGGATAATTCTTTGGGGACATTAGCAAATCCCCCAAATTATTTTTAATAATGTGGATTAGAACTAACATTATAGCACAAGAAAGCAAAGTAAAAGAACTTAAAATAAGGATCAAGTTTTCAAAGGCACAGTTAGAATCAGAACTCTTAACCTTGGATTGTATGCATACAAACAAACATACATGTACACACACATGTACTAGGGGGCTTCAAAAGTTCATGGGAACATTCCATTATCTTTTCATTCTACTGCTCCACCAACTCTCTGAAACTCCCCTTGTATGTGTGTGCATGGGCATGTGGGCATGTGTGCATCCACACACACATACATGCCACATACAGTGGTGACAGACGCGAGAAATGAGCACTCGTGGATCAATCACTCCACTTCAACAGCCATCAGCATAGCGCCAGTTTTCCTGAACTCTGCTCCCACTCAATTTTGAAGCAAATATTATAAATCCTATCAATTCATCTCTAACTCTAACAGGCAAGTTATCCCTTTTTTAACGTTACTGAATACTATTAGCACACCCAAATGAATAATAACACATATTTTCAAGGCCATTTTTCCACGTAAACCCTGAAATTGATGGGGAGCCAAATGAGGCCCCATGAAGTCTCGTCAGAGACTGCAATAACGATACTGCCAACCTACCAAGCATTCATTCAGGAGACCAATGCTTCAGAGAAAGTAAGGACACGGAGCTTGCTGGAAAGGACTGGCATTAGAAATAAGTGGAAAATCTAAACAGAGGGTGATGGCAATGGCCAGGTTCCCTGTAACACAGAAAGCAGCCACCCTGTACACTATCTCTGGATCTCTCTCACCCCTGTAATACAGAAAGCAGCCACCCCCGTACACTATCTCTGGATCTCTCTCACACACAGTGGGGTGTTTTTTCCTTCTTTTTCCCCTCTCCTCTCTTCTCTCTCTTTCTCCATCACAAGGGAAGCTCGCCTTCCCATTCTAATTCACGCACCCTCAAGCCATCCTGCCCACCAAGCAACATTGCTAAGTACTTAGCATAAAATCACTT